GTGAAGCATCTTTAAGTGTCCAAAAAAGCACAATATATAACATTATTATGATAAGAATCGAGCGGGCCTTTCTGCAGAGGGACAGCTACACTTGAACCCCGCCATGAAGACACAACGCAACAGGAGAACGTCCCTGTCTTTGAGAAGAGAATCGGCCTGACCTCTGAGACGAGATGAATCCAAACCACATGAAGTTGTGTCTGCAGAGTTCAGTGAAACATACACAAATTACTGATCACTGCAGTAAAGCAAGCTCCTCCCAGTTCAAGTTCCCCTTTAGTTCATACGGTATGTAGTGCTTGTTCTGTCCGTGACAAGTCAAGCCCACGAGAAATTGCCTCTGGTTGTTTCTTGATTCACCCCAAAAACCCATGTGACCCATTATCTCAAATTTAAAAAGACGAAATGTCAAATTGATTATATTTTTGAAGCCTTTTGAGTACAGATAGATGGCAAGGCTCTTGTGAAGCCGTGGCCCTAATTATATATGTTCGAGCAATCTCTCCATAGAGGAAGATCAAACTTCAAATTGGGCTAAATAGTGGCTTTTCAATCAAGGAAGTCACCCCCAATTTCCTCTGACCTGTATAACGATACGTAGACGTAACGCATTGTGCTAATTTGACATTGAAACCATATTTTAGCATTGCTCCCTCCTCAAACACAGACATGGAGTCGTTTTTAGATATTTTTTAAACAAAACAATTGTTCATAAATTAGTTTTGGCCATTTCTCTCAAGTGAAAAACATTATTGATAATTACATTGTTTGGATGCTGCTAGTCATTTTCAAATTTGGGAGGAATAAAACATTTTAGTGGTATCATAGGGAGTTACAGGGGCAAACATTTTTTTATCCATCCTACTTTGTCTACATCAGACATTTCACAGGGACAAAGTAAACAGTCTTATTATATTTCAAACCTTTCAACACGTTAAGACAGAAATTAGTGCATCCCAAAGACAAAACACCCAGACACAAACAGAGCAATGTGGTGTATTCAATTAAATGTAGTGAAGTTTGTTTAGTTTCTCCACTATATTGGAGAAACTAAACAAACTCTACAGAAACGACTTTACCAACATCGAAGAGAAAACTCTAGTGGGCCACAGTCGGCTGTTCATCTCCACCTCAAGGCCTCCAACCACACGGTGGATGACACAGAGGTTAAAATTCTGGCTCGGGAGAAGAATTGGTTTGAGAGAGGGGTGAAAGAAGCCATTTTTGTGAGGAAACAAAAACCTTCTCTTAACAGAGGAGGAGGGTTAAGATTTGTTTTGCCTCGCATCTATGACGACATCCTAAAAACAACGCCCTAACTTGGGACAAGGTCAGTGACATGCTAATGAGTTAGGAGGGGTGAGACCTGCACTCCACTTGAGCATCCCAGCAGACAATAGGTCTGTGACATGCTAATGAGTTAGGAGGGGTGAGACCTGCACTCCACTTGAGCATCCCAGCAGACAATAGGTCTGTGACATGCTAATGAGTTAGGGTCGTTAGCCTCAGCAGGGTCGTTAGACCTGCTCCCTTCTACATCAAACAGACCTTAGATTGTTTATGAGTTAGTATCAGGATAAGGGTGGGGCTAACCACACCCATAGGTTATAAATCTCCAACGCGCGGTCCGAGAATTCATTCCCTGAAGAAGTCCGCTGGTTTGAGGACGAAACGTCGGGAAAACTTGCTAAGAAGTACAGATGATGGGTGAGAAACCTTCCTTTGCTCAGTCTTATTATCATTTTTCAAGGGCTAAATCTAATGCATATTATTTCTTCTTTAAAGCTACAATACCCTGTGGTTTCATGGATGTATACCAAGATGGTTATGAGAGTGCGTTTGTTCGATAATCACTCGTACATACATACTAAGGATTAGGATAAGAATGAGAAAGTATTAGTTCCTATGTGTTGGACCATCTCCTCTGTGTCGAACACAAGAGTCCATTCACCTGTCTGCAAAGCACTACTTTAGACCAGACAGACCTAAATAAGACCCTTTGTTCAACTCCTTTCTCAAAACTCAACAGGAAGGGTCCGAAGTGCTTCTCAAGACCTTTAGAAGAAATAATTGGTTTCCAAGAATACACTGTAAGGATTGTGCGTGTGATCCTGCATAGTGGGTCATTCTAAAGCTCAATATTGTGAAAAAAAATGCCCATCATGCATTTTTCATCCATAATCAGCGGTTGTAGGTTCACCAGTTTGACCGGTTCTCCCAGCACGTTTTCCACATCTCTCTCGATAGCATCTTTAATTCTGCTGTCCCTAAACCAGGTGGATGTGCGGGTCATTAAAACCCAATTCTCCGGCTTAATTACACGATAAGGCGAGTGCGAGGTGAGACGCTTTAAAAAGAAGGAAATGGACGACTTTATCCAACAATAGACGAGTCATTTTATGGGTCGTTGCGTTACGTCGACTTCATAAAGATTTCAGGATGGTTTTAGTCCTGAATCCTCTCACATTTATCCTGTCCTAACGCTGGCATCTTGTGGCTCAGAGATTAGACCGTAAAGGTGGCATAGTATTGAAAATTATCCAGTTAAATTTCCAGCTCTTTGACTTGACAATTCCAAGTTGGATTTAACTGTATTATGGCCGTATGCATTTTGTTTATCTACTGATTATTCAATTAATAAATAATACATTATTTCACATTTTAAAACAGGGGTGTCAAACGGGTTGCAGAAAAGGCCTGGGTGGATGCAGGTTTTCATTCCAACCAAGCAGCAGCTCACTGTACTCCATTTATTTGCCTATGTATTTGCTTCATGTTAATTCAAGTGACAGTTAATCAAGTCTCAAATCTGAATCTATTTCTCTTGACTGAGCTAGAGCTTTTATGAGCAAAAAGGCAATTGTAGGGTTTTCAAAAGTAGGTCCTTGTGATTAGCTATAGCTGACCAGGCCTTTCGTCGAATCTGTGAGTGATGGTGGAGGGTCTCTGCTGGACCCCCCTGAGATACTGGGCCCGATAAGCCAATCATGTAGAAGTAATCGGCCATGACACAATAACTCAATTTATATCCAGAGATGGGGATTGCCGCTCTGCAGGATGTCTGGTCTGAACCATAGACTGTATATACTGTAGATGGACGGTGCTAACCCGCTAGCTCAATGAAGCCTAATAGGGAAGTGCTCATGGATGCAGTTTGGTTCCACCTAGCTCTGGGTCCGTCACAATCACCATTTTGAGCTTGAAAATCCGTTGTTGAGCGTTCTCTGTGATCCTGGTGTTTATGCTTTCAAAATCCAGACATATGGCCAGGGGAACTTCCAGCTTGCCTTAGCAACAGTCTTAGCAACACGTCCGTCCCTGTAACGCTGCAAAGCTAACACAGTGGAAGAAATGCACATAAAAAGAAATTGGCTCCACCAAATTTATGTTGGTAATGTTTTCGTCCACTGTCGGCGCACGCTTTGGTAACGTCAGTGAATTTTGTTGCATACTGTATTTCTCTTATTATTGGCTACAATTGGTTCCCACCATCAGTTTAGTTCTGTTGCTATATATACAAGCATTTATATAAGGGGTACCATATTTCCCTACAATAGTGTCTTCAACTGCAATGACATCACTTCACAGACTAATGAGGCTTTCCCCCCTTAGCATTTCTTATACCACTTCATCCCCAGTTTCAGTTTCAAGCCATTAGGTTGCATTCATGTGACATCACAACAGTCCAAAGAGCCTATAGCTTAAATTTGTAGTGGCCATCTGAACAGTTTTCCCAGTAACTATACTAACAGCGATTCTGGTCAGAGTTTAAAGCTAATTTCTCTGTAATCCATGGGCCAAAAACTGTCTCAAAGTTCCACGTCTTCTTTGTCAGCACATGTCTACCATGGTCCAATTATTTTCTCTTAAAAGTGTCTAGTAGTGGTGACATTATTTAAAAACATAGCATGATGTTGGCAAGCGATGAGGACTTTCAGACACAAGACTAATATTTCTAATTACTTTAACACTAGGATTCCCAGAATTCTGAAACTACCAGAACTCCACAAGCAGTCATTTTGACAGCTAGAGTTTTAGGTTTTCACTACTAACGAAACGAACCAAATGAAGCAATCAGATTTTTATCTTGGATACACGCAAAAAGTCATAAATATAAATGAAATATAGCAAAACCAAATGCTAACAGCGTGTTGCTATGGTAACCAACCACTTGCTCAAAGCCAAGATTGCTCTGAACCAGTCCAGGACCAGTCTAGGATTGAGAACATTTCAAAAACATTAAAACGTAGAAATAAACTTGATATAGAAGCAGAAACGTACATATGTGGAGTAAATACACTTCCAAAAAGGAAAAACCCTCAAAAAAACGCTTTATTTTTCCAAAAATGTCTTTCCCATCGAGTTGTATTAGCACCTGCCCTCCAACTGAAATAGAATTCTATAACGTGAGCGCGACACCTATAAAAGCCTATTTCCAAATCTCTCTCTCTGTCTGTCTGTCTCTGTCTCTCTCTGTCTGTGTATATACATGTTTAATTTTTTTCTACCATTTTTCTAATATTGCCAATTCCACCCCACATGCAAGACTTAACACGTGGGTTGTCGATTGGGCGCACGGATCCACCCACATGAAATGAAAAAGTTCGGGTCAAAACGGGGCTACGGTGCAATCAGTGCCAACACAGGGGGAGATTCAATTAAGTTTCTCTCTATGGAGAAGAAACGCCGTCCACGCCACGCTCGCATTCCATTATGTTGTCACCAATATGAATCGCGGTGAAAACAGCTTTGAAGCACCTCATACTTCCAGGAAATGTTCAGTATAATTTATTTTTCTAACCCAGCGGCTGCATTTTAATTATGTAAGCTATTGTTTGAATCATCTGCCCACCGAGCTACAATTTCATTTCAGCGAGGAAAGGAGAAACATTTTGGGGATGTAGTTTTAGAATTGCATGAGTATGTGTCATGTTTTGGAGTGTTTTATTGCATTTACATAGCAGTGAGTGGAGCAATTTATTTTCTCAGCAAGATGAGTTTCAACCCAGGAGCGATGTGAGTTTTCTCGTCACCAATCGCAGGATGAAGAAGGTGTTTCCGTTTGAACATACAGCGTTAAATGATATAAGGAAAGAGTTGGGAGTGAGATGTCCCTGCGGAGCATCAGTCAGAAGGCTGCGGCTCTCAGGAGCTAAAATAGCAGCAGGCAGAGAGCATAATTAGATATTTTAAGTGCTTTACATAATTCAGTCAGTCATAATGAAGGCCCAGTGGGACCTGCAGCCTGTGTGGCTATTGTCAGTCCACTGCAGGGAAAGCATTCAAGCCAAGGGGAGGCTGCTGAGGGAGAAGCAAGGACAACGCACAATCAAAAAGAGCTCAAAAGAAATGCACGGATGTAAAATAAAAAATATATAATTAGGACAATCTGCATAATTTACTCCTCAATGGACTGAAGCAGTAATGAGCATATACAATAAGCGGTCCCCTCCCCCTCCACGCTTCAGTGAGCTGTCGTTGAGGCCAGATTCACAACGTTATACAGTCAAGACAACATAATTACTGGTTGTATTTCCAAAGAATAATCACATTTAAAGCCTGGTTCACACGGCAGGATATTGAAGACCCGATTCACCCCTGACGACAATCAACATGTATGGACATTTATTAACATTCATGGACATTATATTGAATAAATTGAATTTGAAATGACAAAATGGGTAAAACGGGAAACAATTGGAATGATTGGAGGTAAATGAATGAACCATTAAAACTAAGTAACAAACCAAATACATAGAAGTCAAACGTAAGTGGCCCAATCAAACTACAAACGGTTGGAGGACCGCCGTGGCTTCTGCCCAATCAGCACACAGACATTGCAGCCAATCAGCTCCTGGCGGGAAACGACTGAACTCAGGAGCGAGATATTCATGGCGCTGTAAAGGAGAAGAAACTCACACAGACAGAGACGCCACACGAGAAACACTTTTTTTTTTTTTTTTTTTAAGTGGTCCCCAAAACAGGGAAGTACGGGCAGTAACACGCTCTATTAGATACACTGCAAAACGTGATGAAAAAGATGTAAAACATGGCTATATTTTTGCTGCCTTAAAACAAGATTTGCCAATGGGACAAAGCAAAGTGACCTTGTTTTAGAAAGACACAAGAAATGTCTCCCTTGGAATGAGAAAATAAAGCAGCAGTTCTTGAAATGAGACTAAATGGCTTTGTCTCACTGGAAAATGTCGTTTTAAGACAGAATGTATTCAATTTAAGATAAACACTTGATTCAAGCAATTATGACTTCATTTATAATTTTTTTGCAGCATAGATTAAATAGACATTATTAAATTAGTTTGAAGGTTATGGACCCCAGCTTTAATTACGGTGATTGTAAGAGTAGTAGGGCTATAAGAGCATACCTCACACACACACACACACACTGTAAAAAAAAAACCAACATTACTATAACCCATTGGCCTCATCTGCCCATCCCTTTCTGTCACCGCACATTATCCTGCAGAGGAATGGACTTGTGATGTCACATTATGCCGTGTCCCCTCCTCCCTGAGCTGTCTGTCAGTGGTCGATGAGCGCACCACTTCATGTCGACGGTGGATTGATACGAGCTCTTAATGAAAGATGTTTTATTAATGCTCCTATAATCAGATTACCTTTAGGCAGACAGGCTCCATCCATCTCCCAGTCAGGGGCCGTGAGCAGCGGTTGGCCCCTCAAGTTTGGAGCTTTTACACCGGTATCACCTGCGACGCAAGAAGAGAGAAGGATTATAAAGGCACAGAACAGCACCGTGACTGCAGTTGTTGTTATGAATTAAAGCTGGGGTACCTAATTTGTAATATTGTTTATTTAGCCTTTATTTAACCAGGAAAGTCCCATTGAAATTAGATATTCAAGGGACAAGTGGCAGCAGAAGTTACAGAAAACTTACATAAAATTGTCAAAGAGGATGTCTCAAGCTCTCTCAATCTGGACTTAAAAGCATTGAATGAAATAAGTTCAATTCAATTCCAGTCTTTTTGCAACTTGTATAGCATATCTAACTTTTGTTTTCATAAATATGATGTTTGACAGAGTCTTGTAAAAGTAAAATTAGACCACCATATGCTGTCTTCATCTTTTAAGACATTTTGGGCAAAGAGCTGATTGGTCCTATCATTGTTCACTTCTCTGTTTGCCGAAGCTGTTTTGACACATGCATATGAAACTAGTTATAGAACCAAACTGTTTCGAATGTTAGCATGGATCATTTTACGCGGCTTGCAAGTTGGGTACCCCAGCTTTAACTATGACTGAGTTGTTGTTTTTTTGGGGGGTTTTTTTTAAGCTCAGGCAAAGGCAAAATGCAACAATGTGACATCAACACTGCATCATATGTGGTCAAGAAGGTGTGGAAATATGCTGAAAGTACTTCCAGACCTACAATTCTGTTCAAAAACTATGATCCAGCAATCACAATTTGAGGAGGAGAAATTGGGTGGCTGTCATATTAGCTTCATGTCGATTCGCAAAGCAGCTTTTGTCTGTCGGCAAGGCACACAAACAAAGGTGTGCGGCTTTTCAAAAGACTTAAAAAGACCAAATGTTCTCTTTAGTCATTCTGAAGAGCTGCCAGCAGAAAAGAGTCTGGATGAATTCATACTTTTTGTTATATATTTAAACGCTCTTTCAAATTAAATTACGGCCATTTCCCCCGTAGCACATCACAGGCCTGTCGTGCATTTACGCGTCTCTTTGTTTATTCTAACTTGTGTGTTTTTGTTGTTTTGAAGTTGCAACATAATGACACCATATGATGAGCAGATCACAGTATTTGGCGAGTTTCCAGCGTCGTTCTAATAGTTCCTAAAGTGTTGTGTTTTCCACTGATCAATTCAGATGAAAACGCAAAATTCCAGAAGCAAAACTCCTCCATGAAAGTTTCATGGATCACAGCTGAAGCTGTAAGGACTGTAGGGGTCCGACTTTTAGAAGAAATGGCATTCATCCTTTTTAGGGATTAAAAATGTTAATGCGGCTAATTACGTTATTATTTCACGTTTCACATTGTTTTTAAAATATTGAAAATAATATCTAAAGTTATGAAATATATGGTGAAACAGGTTTGAAGAATAAAAATTGTAAGTGCTATAGTAAAATCGGCCACTCCCTATGCTACCACGAGAGGGAGGAATTGTATTTAATGTATGTATTGTTTTGTTTTGTTTTTTTCCCAAAATTTAATAAACACGCATTTCAGCGTGTCCAAGCCCCGGCGATCCAAGATGGCTCCATATTCAAATGAATGGTTTGTGCTCGGTCGTGCATGTGTCGGCATGGGCACCGAAAGATTAGCGAAACTTGTCTATATTTGGGAATCGTCTGGTCCTCCCGGTTCTGCGCGGTGGACGAGTGTGTGACTCTCATGCACGTGCACAGAGGGTCCCGGCAGCGCTCTGACCAATCAGAGCTGCCCATCAGAGCAGAGCTTGAGCTGGAGCTAGAGCGGGAGTCAGAAAAGCAGAGTTTGTGGCACGAAAGTGTGGATTTAAAGAAAAACCGAAGAATTTAAGAAGAAAAAAAGGCCAGGGTGACAAAAATCCCCACAAAATCCGACCTTTGTGAAAGCTGTAGGTTCTCTGTCAGCTGAGGTAGAGCTGTTTTAATTTACATTGAGTTCTATGGGGAAAATATCTGGGTAGCCCACGAGAATTTAGTCTTGTTTAGTCTGCAGTACCACGAGAAATGAGAATCCCCCGAGCACATGGGTCCTTCAGCTCCAAGCTAGTAATACTCAATCCAGTTATTATAATAGATCCATGATCGTAGCCCAGGATTTTGTGCGTCCATAACTTATGCCCTGAGTCTTGTCTGGCAGGCAGACAGGGGGTTCTACTTTATGCACTTCAATTGCAATGACTGTCAGTAAAGCTCTTTCAGAAAAGTATTTTAGCATTTTATTTAAATAATAAACAACTGTGACTTACACTGGAATAATAAGTGTGATCTTGTCCAATCTTCTCTTCCTACTTCAAATTGGTTACTAATTCCCTTTTATTGAGTTGTCTTGGCATAAAAACGACCAATGACTCACTTGCTCAGGGTTGAACATGGCTGGAACTGGGTCTTTAGGCTCAGAAGACGGTCCAGCTTCGCCAACAAAGTGTTTGGAGCCGATACATGTGTCTTTTTTGACATTTTGCTGCAAATAATCCGGGCAATCACAGCCTCAAGAAACCAGAAACAACTTGAAACTTAAAATTGTAAGGTATTTGCATGGAAGGTTGAGATCTTTCGTCACTACTTCAGTCTTCTTGGCAAAATGTTTTTAACATGTGTTGACTCATTTTTGTCTGAACCTCAAGCCACAGGTTCATGATACAGGTTTGTGAATCTAATCCGTGTCAAACTATGATCTGGGAAAACGTTTGGACATCTACATTTTCAACATTTAATTCATAAAAGTGCTTATTTGTCATCGTGTTGTATCGGCACCTGCCCCTTCAACATACTTTTACTTACAAAGTGCATCGATTTTGTATCACGTCAAAGAGAGAGAGCTGTTCTGGAAACACACACTAACACATAATAGTTTGGCAATATCACACTCGTGTATCATTAACAATTGACCCAACAGGTTTTCCCATGCGCTTTTACAAATGTATTTATCCTTTGCCTGTGTTAAAGGAGCGTTGCTAAGGGAGACAGGTGCAAATACCTGCCTGTGTTTTTCCGTGACCTCGCACTCGATGCCGGCTGAATCCACCGGAGAGCTGCGTCCGCTGGGAGAGAGATCCTCGCATCACTCCTCTGGACCTCTGCCTCTGATGGAACGTGAGAGGCAACACTCCTGCTTCCAAATCCAGCCCCGAGCATGGACGTCGGAACTATTTTCTGAGAGGGGGGGCGGGTTTTTGTTGGGAGAGTCGAGGGAGAGACTCATACTTGGATTACACTGGATAATAACATACCATCTTAATTGTTAAGAAAAACAAAATAAACAATATATATCAAGCAAGTCACTTATCAAACTGAACTTTTTTTTTTTCAATACGCATTCATGCGTCAGTCTCTCCGGTGGCTTCATTGTGTTGTGTAGCCCAGTGACGTGCGGTCAGATGAGGCAGGCAAGGCCCTCACCTAAGATCATAGAAAGAAAAGTAATAAAATGGATACAATAATGTTTGGTCACTTTATCAAGTGATTTGTGCTGTGCCTTATTTCATTTATTTATACCTTGAAATCGCAGATTTGACAGAGCGGTGCTGTGAGGCGAGCCTCTCTTGGGAGACGTAAAAAGCAACAGTTCACAGGGAGAGTCCTGTGAGGTGCTATCAAACTGTTTTCCCTGTTTATCACAGTTTAAAAAGTTCAAAAATATTTAATTTACAATCAACATGTTTACATTTAAGAGGATGGCTCATAAATTGTGTTTTTGAAGCAAATATGGGTCTTAATCGCGCTCAACCACAGCTTGTAAGTGAGGAAAGCCTCAAGGGGGCGCTTGTGAGCCCAAACTTTGGCTGCATCCAATTCCATCAGAAAGCTCCTTTCTTGTTCTTCTTCTGCTAAGGGCAGCTACAGGTTTGGCTAACATACCTATAATACATTTTAAGATAATTTAAAATGCACTTAGAGTAATGTTTTGCTTCCAATGATGATATGAATCATAAGAAAAGGAGGTGAAGGGTAAGGTTGAATTTAGAAATTGGATTTACCCGGGAGTCGGCTGCAGCAAAACTCGGAGTTTACGGAGGAGACACCCGTTTTTTTTACTTTTTAAAACTCATTGAACTTATTTCCAAATGGAGGATTACATGTCTGTGCCCAAACTATTATCTGGACTTAAACATGAAACTGGTCCTAACTGAAGTGGTCTGTGCTGTTCATTAATACCTAAGGTAAGGCCCATAACACACTTTGTACTATTTACAAACGTTTGCGTTTTGTATGAGAAAACAATGCAGACATTAAATCATATTCTGCTGTAGCCAAACAAATTGTGTATAAGCCGCTCCTGTTCCTGTAGGTCCTGTTGGTTTATATGATGTATAATCATATGAACACATGATTGATCCCCCACCGCACGTCACTGGTGTAGCCAGGTCTCTAATCTGCGCAAGGCTGAGAAAGAGCGCTCAGAGGCTGCGACAGATATTAGCCAGACAGAGCTTCATAAGCTTCTCCGACAGCATGGAGCGGGTTTTGGGCTGCAAGGAACGCAGGATAGTGATAACTTCTCGCTCCCGGCACACGCGGAGGGGGTGCGGCCGCACCCCCCGCACCCCTAGTTCCGACGTCAAACCCCGAGGCTCCACTTAACACACACAGCACCCACAAGAAGTTTCATCTCTGTTTGCTCACTCTTAACTTAGAAGAAGCACATGGCACTTGAATATTATAGATAACTGTGTGCGTGTGGGTGGGGGTTGCGTGTGTGTGTGTGTGTGTGTGTGTGAGAGATGGTAAATGCACTCCAAACTAAATACAATGGGGTACATGAGGAAGCATCCAACACTAAAGAATATTCCCATGTTTTTGCTCCGGGGCGGACCAAAATGTTTCCTGCTGTACAAGATATAAAAGCAGGAAAAGTCCAAGGTTCTAACAGTGAGATTTAAAAACTGAGGTTAAAAATATGACAGGCACATATTATGCAAAACATGTTTTTGAGCATGTTCAATTCAATTAATATTTTTAAACAGCCCAAAATCACAACAGCAGTCGCCTCGGTGAATCAACAAGTTTGTAAAGTTCGTCCAACAACAGATCAGAGAATCAAACTGTAGGAGGCATTGATCCATAGGGAGCGGGATGATCACTGCTGGAAACATCATCACTGTTCTTACACCCTCCTGCATCAATCCAAAACAAAACAACAAATAAAAAAAGAGAACCAGGACTGAGGCTGTAGATCCAGGACTGAGGCTGGAGATCCAGGACTGAGGCTGCAGAACCAGGACTGAGGCTGCAGAACCAGGACTGAGGCTGCAGAACCAGGACTGAGGCTGCAGAACCAGGACTGAAGAGGCTCCCCGGCGAGGAGGGGGTGCACCCCATAATTTCAGGCCAGGTGCGACCATTTAATTTTCCAATATTCCCTCTGGCACAGACCAGGGGTTCTTTTTTGAGATCCATTCATGTTATTATGGGCGGCACGGTGACTGAGTGGATAGCACTCTCGCTGCTCCGACCGAATGCCGGTCGGAGCAGGGCCTTTCTGCGTGGAGTTTGCATGTTCTCCCTGTGTCTGCGTAGGTTTCCTCCGGGTACTCTGGTTTCCCCTACCACTAAAAACATGTACAATAGGTCTGGCATGCGCCTCCTGTACTGGCGACCCTGCTCCCATCTCTGTGTGGAGTGAGAGGACAAATGCCCAAAAATAACAATTCTAAACCTCTTTGTGACTCTGGTCTGTGAAAGGCGGTATATAAATAAAGATTACTTACTATTATCAAACATGTAACTCCGCCCCTTCTGTCTAACACAGACAATCTCTTCCTGAGGGTCATATATGTTGTGGTTGGTAAGTGGACCCCAGAACAGACACAAAAGGCAACTATGCTGAACAAAAATAGTCTTTATTGTAAAAAGACTTCTTTGGGAAAAAACAGGAAAGGCTTGGCTCCACAGGGTCTGGCAGGGTGTCTCTGAAGCAGGCAGGAGATCTATACGGCAGGAAGCAAGAAATACTTTTTAGGAACAAAAACAAACTGACAAAAACTAGACTACTAGACTTTGGTACGAACCGCTAAGTAGACAGAACAATCTGGCAGTGAGTGCAGGTGAACCGGGTGACTAAGTACAGTGCTTGATTGGAGATGGATGACAGCTTTGCCTGCTCAGAGACACTCCCACCAGCCAAGAGCCAAGCCTGAAAAACAAAACAGAGGGGGACAAACACAAGAGGGAGACAAAGACTAGTCTCAGCCTAGCACATAACAGGACCCCCCCCTCAATGGACGCCTCCAGGCGTCCTACCGGGCCGGCCAGGAAACCGGACATAGAAGTCCCGAAGCAACCCAGGGTCCAGGATGAGCCCCCGAGAAATCCAGGAACGTTCCTCCGGACCGTAACCCTCCCAATCCACCAGGTATTGAAACCCACGCCCACGGCGGCGCACATCCAGGATCCGGGACACAGTGAAAGCCGGATGACCATCGACCAGACGGGCGGGCGGAGGGGGTGCGGCCGGAGGGGACAAGGAACTAGACAGGACAGGCTTGAGTAACGAGACATGAAAAACAGGGTGGACAGCCAAGGCAGCAGGCAACTTTAGCTTGACGGCAGCCGGGTTAATGATCCTTTCAATTTCATACGGCCCAACATACCTCGGGGCAAGCTTTTTGCAGGCTACTTGAAGAGGCAGGTCCCGAGATGAGAGCCACACCCTCTGACCCGGCTGGTAAACCGGTGCGGGAGCGCGGTGTCTGTCTGCAGTGCGCTTAGTACGAGCTGCAGAACGAATCAGGGCTGCATTGACAGTTCGCTAGATGTTCCTGCAGCGACGAAGGTGAGCTTCAACCGAGAGAACGGCAACGTCACCCTCCTGGGCGGGAAACAAGGGCGGTTGATAGCCCAGGGAGGCCATGAAAGGGGACGTCCCAGTAGCAGAGCTACTCATAGAGTTGTGAGCATACTCTATCCAAGGAAGGAATGAAGACCAGGCAGAGGGGTGACGGGCAGTAACACAGCGAAGCGCAGTACCCAGATCCTGATTGGCACGCTCTGTCTGTCCATTAGACTGAGGATGGTAGCCTGATGTGAGGCTGGCAGAGGCACCGAGGGCTCGACAGAACGCCTTCCAAACCTGGGAAGAAAATTGAGGCCCACGATCGGACACAATGTCAATAGGGATGCCATGTAATCTGAAAACGTGTTGGACTAGGATATTAGCAGTCTCCAGTGCCGACGGGAGTTTCACGAGGGGGACAAAATGTACCGCCTTAGAAAAGCGATCGATGATGGTCAAAATAACTGTTACCTTCCGAGGGGGGTAGACCGGTGACAAAATCCACAGCAATGTGGGACCAAGGACGAGAAGGCACTGGAAGTGGAAGCAGCAAGCCAGCAGCAGGTAGATGTGAAGATTTACTACAAGCACAAACATCACATGCAGATACAAATTCACGCACATCTGGACCCATAGTAGGCCACCAAAATCTTTGTTGTATGAAGGACAGGGTGCGGTGAATACCTGGGTGGCAAGAAAGCTTAGAGGAATGCCCCCACTGAAGAACCCGAGAGCGAGTAGAGGACGGGACAAAGAGCCGATTAGCGGGGCCAGTTCCAGGATCCGGTTCGGTGTGTTGGGCAGCAGTGACAAGGTTTTCTATCTCCCAATGAGCAGCCGCGAGGATACAGGAGGTAGGTATTATGGTCTCCGGTTGAGTCTCCGAACAGTCAGCCGTGTGGAGTCGGGACAGAGCGTCCGGTTTGGTGTTCTTGGATCCAGGTCGGTAAGTAAGGTTGAACTTGAAACGTCCGAGGAAAAGAGCCCAACGTGCCTGTCGAGAGTTGAGTCTGCGGGCTGAACGGAGATAAGACAGATTTTTATGATCAGTCCAGATAACAAATGGGTGTGGTGCCCCCTCCAACCAATGTCTCCATTCCTTTAGGGATAACACCACAGCTAGCAACTCACGGTTTCCGACGTCATAGTTCCTCTCAGCATCCGAAAGACGTTTGGAGAAGAATGCACACGGATGGAGTTTGCCGGTCTGCGGGGAACGTTGAGACAGAATAGCACCCACCCCAATGTCAGATGCATCCACCTCCACGAAAAACTGTTGACTAGGGTCCGGATGTGTGAGGACAGGTGCAGTAGTGAAGCGGTGTTTAAGCTGGTCAAAGGCTGCTTGGGCTTCAGGGGGCCA